AACAGCCTAAGTACCTACCTGAGCTTGTTTAGCTGTTTTCCTAATGATAAATGCATGGATACCTTCCAGTTTGGGGTACTATTAATAGAACTGCTATGAATATTCTGTACAAGTCTTTGCATGGATGAATGACTATTTCTCTTTGGTACAATTTACAGGGTGCTAGGACAGATGCATGTTTAGTTTTGTAAGAAATGACCAGGCCTTCTTCTAAAGTGATTATACCGTTTTGCACTTCCATTACAAATATATGAGATTTTTATTTTGAATTTAATTTTAGGAGAGGTAATAAGTTCACATGGTTCAAAATTTAAAGAAAACAAACATGAAAATTATCTTTACCCCTCTCTTCTATCTGTCCAGGTCCTACTCTACCCTAGCTTCACCACAGGTAATCATTGCTGTTAATTTTTTGGATATTTTTTCAATATTTTTGTAAATATCACAATGCTCTCTAAATGCAAGTAAATAATACTTTTTTATGTCTACTTTTTAAAAGAGAATATTCTTTAATGCAGTCTTATCCTTTGCTTTTTTATTTTTCCCCTTCCATTGAATTGTCTACCTTGTAGACATTTCCATTTTGGCACATAGTTCATTTCTTTTATCTTTTTTTGAGTTACAGAGTATTTCACTGTATGTACGAACCAGAATTTATTCACTCATTTTCCTATTGATGGACACGCAGGGTTGTTTCCAACATTTTGCTACTATAGTACAAACGATGCTGCAACAAATGTGTGAATTTATTTCATTCCATATATCCTCATCTAACTTCTGCTGGAAGTGGTCCTGGTGGTGCATGCCTGTAATCCTAGCACACTGGGAGGCTGAGGCAGGAGGATCTCTAGTGCTAGCCCAGTCTAGACAGTTTAGTGATACTGTCTTATAAAATATTTCTTTAAAAAGGGTGGGCAATGTAGCTCAGTGAGAGGCCCTGGGTTCAATCCAAACCCCCCCCCCCACAGAGTTCCTGGCAGATATTCTTGCTTTTGATGTTTTTTGACTTCCCCTATATGTAAATTAGAATCATTTTATCTAAAACTCATTAGTAATGTATGGGCATTTCATTAAATTAATTAACGAAGGAACATTGCTCTCTGATTTTATTTTTTTTCTGATTTTAAATCTACTCATCCATAATGTGATGTTTTTCCCTCCATATATTTAAGTGGTTTTTCTGTGCCCTTTCATAATTCTTGTAAAAATTTGCTAGGTATAAATATTAAAATTCAAAAGTAGTCTAACATATATACATCAATACAACTATAAATATAAAAATACTAAACTTATAACAAATATTTACTTTTCCTATAAATAACCTTGCATAAAATAGATCTTTTCCATATCTATAATGTTATTTAGGTAATTGTAGCTCTTGATTTTTTGGTCTATCATTTTGAGTTTTCTTGATACTCAATTCTCTTATTGTTTGGTAGGATTTACAATCATCCCTCTTCTTTGATCCCATCCCTTATGTTTAACTCATAAATACTTTGTGTTGATACAGATTTGGTGACTTGTTGATTTTTAAAGATACGTTTTTAAAAGGCTTTGAACATGGAAGTATAAAAGAATAAAATTCTGTGGAAGTGTGTAATGGAGATGAGCGTTCAAAGAAAAAAATGACAATTTTGTTGCTATACTTATATATTTTTGAGACGGAAAACAGTGGCTATCAATTCACCATGGCGTCTGTATAACAATAATAAACGTTTGGGCTGGGGATTTAGCTCAGTGGTTCCAGCGCCTGCCTTGCAAGCGGCAAGGGCCCGAATTCGATCGATCCCCAGTACCAAAACAACAAAACAAAACAAAAAACCAGTAATAAACGTTTAAAAGTGTAATGTCCTGGGCGAGGGATGTTGTAGCTCAGTGGTTCCATCCCCTGCTTGACAAGACCAAGACCCTGAGTTTAATACCCCATATGGGGGTGGACTGTAAGGTCCTCAATTTATTCAAGGGCATCAACATTTACAGTACTCTATAGGTCGAGCATCCTAATCCTAAATCCGAAATGCTTCAAACTCTGGAATTTTTGAGAAGCAGCATGTCGCCATAAGTGGAAAATTCCACACCATAAAACTGTTCCAAGCACAATATTTTTAAAAATCGTATAAAATCACCTTCAGGTTATGTGTACATGAAACAAATTTATTTTGTTTTAAATTTGGACCTCATCCCCAAGATATCTGATTGTATATATGGAAAAATTCCGGGACGGGGATTTAGCTCAGTGGTGCTGGCCCCTGCCTTGCAAGCGCAAGGACCCGAGCTGACGCCTGGTCCCTCCCGAAAAACATACCGAACTTCGAAAACATTCAAATTCCAAAACACTTCTGGGACCAAATATTTCGGATAAGGGATATGCGATCCATGTTTTAACCCGTACTTAAAGGTGACAGGCGCCAACTAGGGTCGCCGCAGACTCGGCGCGGCCCAGACAGACTGCACGGTGGACAGGGCCAGCGGGTCCGCAGGTCGGAGCCAGGGTTCCTGGGCCCCCGCGTTCTCGAGGCTCACACCCCGGCTCCCCGCCTAACCGCGAAGGTGGCCCAGGCTCCGGGGCCGCCGGACTCCGTCAG